GTTCCATAATTAAATCTCGCTCACTTCGAATCGTTTCTTTTTTTTTCAAATTGAAGCACGCTAATTTAAGAGAGCGGTGTCTGATAAAGGAAGCAAACAAAGATCCCTTATGGAAGTATTTTACGTAACAAAAGAAGGTAGTTAGAAAAGGAGAACCGAAAAGGTGAAACATGTCGCACAAATCACCTACTCCCAAACGAGCACTAGACTTCAAAGAATCGCTCAAGTCGAATGTGTGTGGTGCAGCCGCTGCCTCACTTGCCAGTTGCGCGAAAAAAAAAGCTGCTTCCAAGCGGTAGCGCGTGTTCAGATTTTCTGAAGCGTGATTTTTTTGGACAGCCCAACATGCCCACAGTAGAGGCGTACTGAACAACTCAGAATGTGCATTGTTCTCTATTGTGTATGTGTATTTGCACCATGCATAGCGCAAAACCAATTTCAAAGATGTTTGGCAGTTCTTTGTATTTAAAAAAAATAAAACCGTAGCCCTAAGTGCTAGTATAATCTAATTTGATGTATCATCGCCTTTAAGTTTCTACTTTTAAACTAGCTTTTTTCCTTTAATGATATACAGTATATGCGATGTAATAGATTTTTGTGTGCATGCGTGTTGCACATTTGAATCTTTATTTCATGAGGTTCGCAAATGCGTAAGATAAAGAAATAAGTCGGTTAGCACGATTGCCACTTTACCGAGGGAGGCATGCGGAAGGCGACAAACCGTGAATTACGCTCGCAAATTTTTCACACTTCAACTTCCTCTCCAGCGTTCTTTTTTGGGCCATAAGCAAAGGATCTTCCTCTATTATGCTTAGGCAAAAATGCCGCAGTCGTTGGGCAAGATGCGGTATTTCTCTACGAGCGTTTTCCGGATTTTGTCGCCTTCCGCCCTACACCCCTTTACCGATCATTCGTTTCCATTCACTTGCCGTTCTCTCTTATTCGAATAATTAATGCGTCCGAGATAGTTTCAGGGTTATTTTCAACTAATGCGGCAAAAGAAAAGAAAGCAAAATGCTGAAACGTCGTAGTCTTGGGATGAAGCACATGAACTCCTCGCCGCCTCCAATTATTCACGAGAAGTTCCAAAGTCCTTTGGTGCGTTGTCTATCACCAGAAGATGGTTCAAAACGGAGAAGGAAAAAGCCGTTGCGATTACAGGTGCAAGATGCAAATT